CATTTATTTGACAAGACTAGTTTAATATTGCTCTTTTTTTTTTTTTTTTTTGGTCTTTTTGAGACAGGGTCTCCTAGCTGTAGCCTCAGCTAGCCTGGAACTCACTATATAGACCAGGCTGGCCTTGAACGCGCAGAGATCCGCCTGCTTCTGCCTCCCAAGTGCTGGGATTAAAGGAGTACGCCACCACGCCCAGTCATCGCTCTTTTTTATACAATCCTTGAAATATTCTAGGATCCTAAAAATTAGTTCAAGGTCAAAAGAACTTAGTATAAAATTTGCTAAAAATACTCAAAGCTTCAAAGTTCTTGATGAAGCCAGGGGTGGTGGCACATGCCTTTAATCCCAGCACTCAGGAGGCAGAAGCAGACAGATCACTGTGAGTTCGAGGCTAGCCTACATAACAAAGCTACAAGGAGACCCAGTCTCAAAAAGACAAAAAAAAAAAAATTAAAGTTTTTGATGGCAGTAGAATCCCAGATCATGATGAAATCAAAGCCTTCCGTGTACCAGAATGATAAATAGAAGATTCTAAAAGATAAGACAAAAATTTAGGTAGTAAAAACTGTCTCAGGCTGGTCTTGGTGACATGGGTCTTTAATCTCAGCCTTTGGGGGGAGGCACAGGCAGGCAATCTGTTAGATGGAGGCCAGCCTAGTCCACATAGTGTCTTCCAGGCATTTGGGACTAGGGAGACTCTGTCAAAAATAAAACCAAGCTGTGCGTGGTGATGCACCCCTTTAATCCCAGCACTCCAGAGGCAGAGGCAGGCGGATCTCTGTGAGTTCAAGTCCAGCCTGGTCTACAGAGGGAGTTCCAGGCCAGCTGGGGCTACAGGGAGACCCTGTCTCAAAAAAAGAAAAAAAAACAAAACAAAAAAAATGATGAATAAAATAATTTTTTCAAAAAGAAAAGAGGGCTGGAGAAATGGCTCAACGGTTAAGAGCACTGGCTGCTCTTGTAGAGGACCCAGGTTCAGTTCCCAGTACCCACCTTTTTTTTTTGATGTACCCCAACTGGCCTGGAACTTACTATTGAAGGACCCTAATTCAGTCCCCCTAGGCTAAAGACAAGGAAATAAGTCCTTCAGGCCAAAGAACTGTACAAGGAAGTAAAAATAAAAAAACAATTCTGAATGCTAAGAACAAGCTGAGCTGACCTTTTTCATGCTCTTTTCCCAAAGCTGGAAATCATCCCAGAAATGCCCCCCTACCTCTGCTTGGCACACAGCCTCCGCTTTTTTGCTTGGCACAAAGCCGCCGCTTGTGACGTTACTGCCGCTTTCTCTCTAGTTTGTGGTCTTTGTCTTTAAAAGAAGCCTGTGAACTGGGCTCTGGGCTTCTGCCCTCCGAGTGAGGCAGGGGTCCGTTTTGCAAAATGTAATAAATCCTCATGCTTGTTGCATCTTCTGGTCTGAGGACTGAGTTATTGGGGAGTGGCCTCCTATGGACGTTGGGTACCCCAAACTGGGGTTCCAACACTATGTAGACCAGGTGGGCCTTGAACTCACAGAAATCCATCTGCCTCTGCCTTCTGAGTTGCTGGGATTAAAAGGTATGCACCACCATGCCCGGCCTATATTTTTTAAAAAAAGAAAAGAAAAAGGTGTTGGGTCCCCTGGACCTGGAGTTAAGGAGAGTTGTTAGCTACCCTGTGGATTCTGGGAACTGAACACAGGCCCTCTGCAAGAGCCGCCAGCGCTCTTAATGGCCACGCCATCCCTCCAGCTCCACAAAAGTTTGTGTTTTTTTGCTTTTTGAGACAGGGTCTCACTAGCTCCAGCTGGCCTGTAACTTGCTGTGTAGACCAGACTGCCCTCAAACTCACTGGAAGATGGCCTGCCTCTACCACCTAGGTGCTGGGATTAAGGGTGTGTACCACCACTCCCAGCAATGCCCTGACTACTTTTTAAGAATGAAACAATTCTTAGGCATTTGTATTTAAAATCTGGAGGGTGTTTTTGTTTGTGTTTTTTTATTTTGTTTGTCTTGTTTTGAGGAAGGAAACCAAACTAAAAGTTATTTCGGTTTGCACTGCATTCTTTGAGTACTAAAGTTCTTTTATAATTTTGAGAGGGTATTTAAATCAGCATAACACAAATATTTACACCCAAACAGCATTTACATAATTAAAGATTTTTTATTTATTATTTTAATTTTATGTGTATGAGTGTATTGCCTGCATGTATGTAAGTACACCCTTGTCATGCAATGCCACAGAGGTCAGAAGAAGGCGTCAGATCCCCTGGAACTGGAGTTACAGATGGTTATTAGCTGCCA